TTCATGGGTTTCCTCTGGCAATTCATATCCTATGTATTCTGCCTCGCTAGTATGTGCCTGTTTCTTCAATGATGTTCGATGCAAATTCAAGTGATCCGAGTTTCGTTCTATTATTCTTACTGATCTACTGATCCAAATCCGATTCGTACTTGGGTTCAGGATACGATACCTCTTGGTGTTTCCGTCGTATCCGACAAGTACCCCTTCTTCTGCTTTATCGTCCCATTTTCTGCGTCTCTGTTTAGGAATGAGAGAGTAAGCTTTTGATCCAAACACCCGAATATGTCCAACATCCGGTTTCTCTCCTGTGAATAGTTCAATCGAGGTTTTATCCACGCTGCGACTTGTCATTCGATTCTGCAAGTACGCTGCTGTCAGAATCGCTTCTCCCCAAAAACGGTTGTCTAGCTCTGCATCCAACAACATGCATTTTGCTGATTCAGTCAATGACCTGTTCTTTCGCTCCGCAACTCCATTTTGTTGTGGAGTATACGGTACAGTAAGTTGGTGCTGTATTCCTTCTTTTCGTAAAAATTCTGATAATTCGGACGACATGTACTCCTTGCTATTATCAGTACAGAGTGCAATGGGTTTCTTGCCAAATCTTGTGTTCATTGCGGCAATGTATTCTTTTACGACGCGAGGGACTTCGTCCTTTGACTTCAACAAACGAACTACAGTGAAACGTGAATAATTATCTATCAAGGTTAAGAAATAGCGATTATTACTCGGAGTAGGGGTCTGCATCGGACCACATGAATCTGAATGAATTAGCCTCATAGGCTCTTTCTCTCTTCTTTCACTTTTTAAGAATTTTGTTTGTGCTAGTTTTCCTTTAATGCAATGCTCGCAAATAATGTCGTCTGAACATTTGGTTACAACAACTCCAGTTGCTAAATCCTCGCTTACTAGACGTTTTATTGCCTTTACATCTCTGTGTCCAAAACGACGATGCCATTGATGAAAGTTGTTACGCTTGCCATCCTAGTCGATACTTCCGCTTCGGTTGTTCTGAACTTGAATAGGTTTCCACACATCAAAATCGCCTCTTGCAATTGCTCGATGTCCTTGATGAATATGACAGGTGTTTTCTTTGAATGTCACTTGATATCCTTGTTCGGTTATTTTTCTCACTGAAATTAGTCCGCCATCCAGTTGTGGAATATATAGAACATTTTTGAGTTCTATTGTCTGAAGGCGATTATTAGAGATTCGGCAGATTAAATTGCCGTTTCCAATTCCAGCAGTTCTCACTGAAGAACCGTCTGCGAGGGATACTGTGGTGTTGTTTTCCTGTAACACTGAGAAAAAGGATTTCTCGTTTGTCATATGGCACCTTGCGCTCGAATCAACGTACCATGTTCCTATATTAGACGTTTGAGTCTTCTCATGTACGAGGGGCACTACTTATATTTTGAGCCTTGGCAACATTGAGTGTTGTCAGGTGCCATTTGACGTTTCCACTAGAAAGTTTGACATTTTTGACCATAACCTTCTTCAGAACGTTTTGTTATTTGAGCGCGATTTGTATTGTTTACAGTCACTTGAAAATTGTGTCTCAGCGAAAAAATGGAATTAACTCGTGAAAATTTTCGTGCAATGATTTATTACGACTTTCGACGTGGATTATCAAGACAGGAGTGCATCGATCAACTTACTTCCACTTTTGGCGATAAAGCCCCATCCTTTGCCACTGTGAAACGCTGGTATAACGAATTTAATCGTGGTCGTCGTTCGCTCACCGACGAAAGTCATGAAGGTCGTCCAAAATCAGTTGTTGTGTCAGAAAACATTGATGCTGTGCAAAAACTAATAATGCAAGATCATCATGTGACATACTGTGAGATTGAGACAACCTTAGGCATTAGTTCCACCAGCATATACAAAATATTGCATGATCATTTAGCCGTGAAAAAGGTTTGTTCTCGTTGGATCCCACATAATCTGACAAAATCTCAAAAAGATGCTCGTGAAAAAATGCTTTGACAAGTGGTTCGAACGCATGCAAAAGTGTATAGATCATAAAGGAGAATATTTTGAAAAACAATAAAGTCATTTTCAATGACAAATTACTGTTTTTTTATTATTAGGCTCAAAATATAAATAGTGCCCCTTGTATTTTAAAGGTGATATGATCATTTGAAGTACCAACTTTTGCAGCTGTCGAAGATTTACTTTGTTCCGCCCTCGTATTTTTGTGTTGTTATGATCTCTTAAATGAGAAACAGTCGGCCTTGACATGGCCCGACTTATTACAATAAAAGCATGTTCGCATTTCCTTGTTATCTCTTTTATTATATCTTTTTCCTTTTTCGCCTTTGGTGTTGTTGTTACGGTGACTGTTATTTTTATTAGGAACCGCGACTGCAGTTTGAAGTGCCACTTCGGTACTTTTCTCTCTTGATTCACCACTTTCGATGCGCCTTTGATATTCGTTTAGCATCTTTCCGGTAACGTACTCTATTGTTAAATCCGCTTCGTCTCTGCCTTCGAGCGCTGTAACGAGTCCGGAATAGGACTCTGGGAGACTTACTAATAACACTGCGACGACTTCCTCGTCCTTAAGAGGTTTTCCTGATCCTCTTAACAAACCTACGACCTCCATGATTGAGTCGATGTGTTCGTTCATCGGTCCACTGCGATAATGTATACCGTACAGTTTCCTCCGCAAATAGAGTCTGCTGCCAAACGTTGACCGCTCGTATTTCTTTGACAGAACCTGCCACACGTCAAACGCGTTATCAAGATGCGCGAAATGTATTAATTGGCTATCCTCTACACTTAACGTTATACATGCCAAAGCCTTATTGTTGCGTTTTATCCAGTCTTCTCTAACCTTTTCAGACTTTGGTTTACTTATTGCGTCCCATAAGTCATCGCGTATTAGTATCGCTCGTACCTTGGTCTTCCAAAATACATAGTTTCCACCGTTTAACAGAGGAATGTTGAATTTCAGGTTTTCCTGTGCCATTCTTATGAAGGTTAGCTTGACTTTGCTGTACGGCCGTTTGTGACTAAAAAAAACTTCTGTATACTTTTTCCACGCTTTATTTACCTCAGTCCGATACTGGGCCCATAACCTAATGGGATTTTTGAGGATAGAATGACACTTTCTACTTAGTTTTATATCCAACAGGAAAAGTACATGTTTATTATTATAGTCAATACAGAAAGAAGAAGAATATAGAGTATAAAACGAGAGACATTCTCAGCATCGATACCACAGCGCCGCCGCTCGCCCGCTACTAGTAACAAGATCGAGACTGGATGAAGCGCCATTATACCGACAGTTTTCATGATTATTTTAAAGATTCACAACAGTTTATTTTTAGGTGGACTCCTTTCACGCGGAATGCCCCATATACAGTACTGGACAAAATAAAGTACGCACTCCAAACATTTTCACATTTATGTAAATAACTTGCCAGTCCTGGCAGATAGCATAATGATGAATGAGGTAAAAGAAAGGTATTTTAGTCTACTTTGCAATAATGATTACAAAAATTTCAAAAACAATTCGAAATCCTTTAATAGTCAAGTCCGTTACATTTATTATCAAATTTATCATGGACAAAATAAAGTACGCAAGTGAAAAAAAAAGTGTAATATAGACAAAGTTTATAATTAATATTTTGTATGACCACCTTTTGCTTGTATGACGGCTTGCAAACGTCGAGGCATACTTTCGACAAGGTTTTGGATGTGTTGCTGATTGATATTTTTCCATGCTTTCATCAATGCTTCCAACAACTTAATTTTATTCGTTACTTCCCCTTTTATCAAGCTTCAGGTCCAAAATCGACCACAAATTTTCAATCGGATTCAGATCTGGCGATTGCGCTGGCCAATCGAGCAGTTTGATCCCAGAAGTACGAAAAAAAGCGGTAG